CTCGCAAATGTTAGCAATATTAGCTCATGCAGTGATATGCTTTCCTAATTTTTTTTAAACGCCACATGTCCTTGAAGCTACGTTTCACAGTTTTTGAGCAATGTCCAAAACCGTGCACGACTTTTTCAAATTTAAGAACAATGCATTTTTATCCAAGTGTTTTAACAAGGAAAGTTAGTAGTCAGGGTGGCGGACAGTGAAAGCACACTATTTGTTACAGCTTGAAATATATAAAATATATTAGCAATTGCCTAAATATTCAACTTTTACTTGAAGCAGTAACTTAAGGTTGTTTTTCCGATAAAAGTCATTTCGAGTCAAATACTAATGTTCAACTTTTACGTTGCTGTTTTGGGTCGAAGTTGTAGTCTGAGCATTTCCTACATGTGCAGTAAGCCATTTTTTACAGAGACGAAAGTTCGTAGGTTTTTCCAAATAAATGTTTGGCAGATGCAGAGAATAGTTTTATGGCGTTTGAAGCTGCATTTGCAAGTATGACTAAACATGAGGACATTTGATTGATAAACTGTTACTGTTTAAATAATTTTCTGCTAAGAATGTTAATGTAAACCAAGAAAAGAAAATATTCATAAAAGATCGCACGATATTCCTATTGATGTATACACGATAAAGCTAAATAAGTCGTTATATGAAGGAGGTTATTCCAAAATAACTTGTCAAGAAGTTGAGTGCGGCTTTTTTGCAGTAGAGCATGATTAAAAGGCCTGTAGCTAATATGAGTGCTCCATTGCTAATCTGCTTAGAAACGACCCGTCCGCACATGTTAATCGAGGTTAGTTCAAGGTGATGATGATGATTAACTTTATTTGACTTTTGATGATTAACTTTCTTTTCAAACAAAGCTATACGGCGATGTGACCGTGACAGGATGCTGATTCAGTTGTAGATTTGAATGATGAGGTAAAAAAGGAAGCACTTCTATAAACCTGTGGTTTTACGACCCAATATTATGAGAGCATAGAAAGGGTTTTGGTTCTAAATTGCGATCGAGTGTAACCTACAAATTATTCAAAAACTCAATCTTTGTTTCAAAAACTGCATTCCTTGCATCTCGCTGACGAGAGTTTTGAATGTTTTTTCATAGGTTTCATACTGTTTACTTGTCTTCGGCAGTATGCAGCAATGTTAGGAAAATCATGCCGTGTCTTTTAGGAGCGAAACAAACTTGGAAGAAGATCTTCATTTGGGCGTCTATCCCATGCTTGGCAATGACTATGTATGCGGCCTACAAGGACCATACACATCACATGTCGCATGAACGCCCAGAATATGTTCCTTATGAATTCCTTAACGTCAGAAACAAGGTTGTTGTAATTTTGACTACTTCTACGACTTCCTTAGATTTCAAGCCACTTTCAGCCTTTCCCGTGGGGAGATGGTAATCACTCCCTCTTCCACAACAAAGCTGAGCAATACGTTCCAGGTGTTGGATTCGAGGAGGAACGAGAGAAACACTAACTTACTACAGAATGTACACATTTGGCCCTTATAGTTTGATAAACTGTACTATTGCTTTTGAAATCCTCTACTCCTTCCATTGTAGAAAACTTCCATTTTACATTCATTTTTATCATTGAATGATAATGGTAACAGTTTTAGTCTCAGATTAGCTTGTATACGTTTCACAGTTTGGGTTCATCGAAAATGTTAAATAAAAGCTGATTGGAGTTCGAGAAATTTTAGTTTTATGATTGGAACATGTTTACAGGATTCTCCCTATGATTGGAGAAAATCAGTGGTTGATTTTCTAGGAAAATGGTTGTTGAGATTTGCTATGCTTTCAGTGAAATTCTATAACAAAAAGATCATTAGCTGCAACTATGCTAATTTTAAGGCCAAATAGGATCAACAAG